GGACGCGTAACGATCGAGTTACCGCGTCCTTCGCTTCCAAAGCGGGATCCGCAGGGCGGAAGACATATTCCACACGAGGGTCAATGACCGTCTGGTGATGGGCGCGATTTAGAGCCGCCTTACGGGCAGCATTAAGCTGCCGCCACTGTTCCCGGTCGAGGTCATTGGTGATCACACCACGTGCCTCAGTTGTCGAGAAGTCAGGGAACGTACATGGGGCCCGCAATACACGAGCAAGACTCGTATCACGCCGCTGGCGCAGCTCGTCTTCCCTGTCATCCCATGCGAAAAAAGGAGTGTCAGACTCATAGTCGACCTCATTCCCAACGAGGCCACTCGGCACTGAAAGCGTGCGCGGAGAGCGACGTTTGTGCTCATCGAGCCTAGGATATACACCTCTCAGTGCTGCGGACGCACTGTCCGGCGTTGCACCGAGTGGGGAAGATGAAGTTGGGCTCTGCCCATGCTCGCCGTCAGAACCGGCGAGACTTGGAGATTTTGGTGCCATTGACACAGGGCTCATTAAGCAAGGAAGTTGTTTGTTCCAACAAATGGAGTTGCAGTGTCTAATGGACACGAGCCTCGTTGATGCAATAATTGATTGGGACTGTAAATGTTCTTAATCTTAATGGGGGGGGGTTGTAACGGGGTTACACGAACCCTAATAACAGGGGGGTGTGCGTGTCACACGAGATGTGCATAATGCGACCACACACGCCCACATGAATACGGGACGGGGCTAGGTAGCCAGTAGTTATGGATACATTTAGATTTTACTATATATATTTAGTATATTTAGGAAAATCTAAACTTTTAACATTAGGACGAAAATTTAAATAGAAATTAGTATTGATTCTGAACAGAAGTGTTCGTTTGCCTTGGTAAGGCTTTTAAGTACTTTTAGAGGCAGCGGATTGCGATCCGTTGCACTAGTCCTGAGTTCTTGTATAGAATGAAAGGTCGGTAACCTAAAGACGCTTCCTCAAGCGCAAAGCTACGGCAGCCCCGCTGCACTTTCTCTCTCGGCCGGGTGATATAAAGAGTAAAGCTCCCGCGCAGGGTCGTCTGATGATTCCCTTGTGAAGAAACGTCGAGTCGATAGACACAGGGCGACCTGCTGGAATATAATAGATTTTATTGAACCTCATGGAGGTTGATTTTAATAGTGATGAGTCATTAAAGGAGAAGCTGGTAAAGCTAGCGACATCAGTTTGCATGCGGCATGAAATACTGTTTCTCTCACTAACTCTACATTGACAGCACAAAAATTTGCACAAGTCCACACCATCAAATCCCAACAGTGATATACCAAGATGATGCTTCGTTATCGACTTAAACCGCTTTGCTTTGAGTGTCGCTTGTCAGACGAAAGGCTGCGCAGAATGGGAATATACATTTACAAAAAATTTTAAAAATTATTCTATCTCTGGTGAATTTAACAACAATTTTCCAATCATCCATAAACGGCGGTTTTGACAAATGCGACTAGAAAGACTAAGCTCTTACACAGAATCGTATGGATTTAGTTGTTGAAATTCATGGAAGATCGGTAGCGAGCTCTCAAGGTTATGATAATGGTCTGCTGATAGTTTAGATCATTGCTTCTAGTCCAATTAGTGCACGAAACGTCCCAGTATGTGGCAAGACGTGCAAAAAGAGTACCTGAGTTAGTTGCTTGGTAGTCGGAAGTCGGCTAAACTCTTGAATGTAAGGCTCGTTCATAGACACCGACAATGATTTCATACAATTAAGCATACGTGTAAGAGGTCCTTTAAAATATGATTGCGTATTGACGAAAGCTCGAGTGACGGTTGCACGACTGTCATAGAAGAAATATTATCATCTGATCATCATTAAACTTATCTGATGTAGAATTTTGGTTTTTACGAGCTGATTGTACATTTTTTGGGAAGATGCAGGAATGATAATTGTAGTCGAAACAGTGACTTTTTGCTCCAGAGCACTCAGCGATCAACCTGGATTTAGGTAAGATCGGTGTTTTCTGCCATATACGAATTTAAGCTCCTCGCATGGTGGCGCTTAATGTTAGTCTGTGTACAAAAATCAATCTTTTAGTACATTAAATCTCCTTAAATGCCAAGGCGAAGTTTTTGGGGCTAGTAGCTGTGATATGGCCTGAATGGCACGGAGTATTAGTAGAACGTAATCTTTTACTATCGAAACGGTTCTCTTCTCTTCTCTTAACAGACACCATCGGTAAAATAAACTGTGGGATTCAGCAGTCTCTTAATTCTTTGCAACTTGAGGATGTCTTTCAGATGTATTGTTGTGAGTCAATTGGAGCCAAGACAGGATTAAATCATTAGGGCTTTCCAAAATTGTAAATGTCTAAATCGCTTTAACAAACTTATTGCAAGAAATGATCCTCAAATTCAGTTGAAATCTAGGTCTCTTTACTTAACTCCCTATTTGAAAAAGAAATAATTTTGCCTTGGCTCTAAACTTCAAACTCTTCTTCGTGAACGTCGAAGTTACCACCACCGAGATTGTAAACAGCCTCGTTAGTAACCATTTTAAGTGCTGGGGGTCCAGATACTATCACCCCAACTGCAGGTAGCAAATTTTCGGAGCTATCATCCTTCTTGTGAATCAAAAGCGTTTGTTGCAAGAGTGAATGCATGTCCGGACGCTCGCCCACTGCTACGTCAAAGTGGTGAATAAGATCTCCCATCGTGTGGACATCGCCTCCAAACGCAACACCATTTGACTGAGGTGTGTCTGCAGTAGGAGGTGTCTCCTCTTTCGAGACGTGGCTACGATGAAACATGATGTATTCATACCACACGAATGCATATACTACAACAATTGTCATGCAGAATATCGCAAGCTGGAAGGCGCGATCAAGGGGCCACAACTCCCAACGGTTATCACCTTGAATGACACCGTTTCCCCACCGAACAGAAAATAGTACACCGATTGCAATCACGTAGAGCATCGCGTACATGATAAAGCGCAAGGTATTGCTAGAGCGGAGTGGCTCGTAGAAGGGATGAGCTGCTCGGCTTTCGAGCTTTACCGTCACCACATCCATTACCTCCTTTGACGGCGAAGTCTCGAGCTTTTTAGCAAGAACATCTTCCGAATATGTGCCCGTTGCGAATAGATGAGTACGAAATAATTGTCTATTTGGGTCGAGCTCACGAAGCCTTGCAAGCACAGGTGCAACAGTTTGAAACACACTGAGCTCACGGAATGCGAAAATAAAAATCACACGCTGGGTCCAATTGGCGCCATTGACAGATAACTTGGCAGCAAGATCATCTAGGATAGCAAGCACGGGCGTCACGCCGATACCACCACCGACCAGACACACGGTGGAGTAATCTTCGTACAGCTCCAAAGAAGCGCCATAGAAACCATCCATGTACATCAAAGGCATAACGTTATCGTGGAGACTGTCCTTGGCATGTTGCACCAAGCTTTTCGACCAGTCGCCAAGAGGCTTGATTAGGACTGTGACGTCGGTAGGGCTTGACTTTGGAGACGACGCAATCGTCAATGCATGCCACTCAAACTTCGAGATCTGAGGTATGTTGAGATACAAAAAGTTACCAGGCTTATAATCATAAGAAGGTGAGGAGGGCGACGTCCCTGGAGCGGCACGTTTGACAACTAACTTAACAAGTTCCTCCTGACCTTCACCAATGATTGTAAACTCCTTAACCGAGACAGGAGTCATGGCGTTCCAGCTAGAAGCGGCCCGGCTAACGAACCACACACAACCTGATGGCAAGATCCACCACAAAATTTGAGCCCAGTGCAAGATCGCGAATAGTACGGCAATGACAAACAGCACCCAGTGAGTAATATAAAACCACTCGTAAGCTTTGCGACGGATAATGGGGAACGAAGTTGGAACTATGAGCACAAGAGCGAGCACTGAAATGAAACCAAAGATGTTGAACCAGACATAATAACCGCCACCCGGTTCGTCTAGCGTGAAGTTGCAGCTTGTGCACGGGAGCTGGTTCTCCTGCCACGTACCTAGACGGATCCAATAGATCCAGTAGCCGAGCATATGAACCACGCCCGTAATGACGGTCATAAATCCGATCCATCGGTGAAATTTGACGCCATTAGCATACGAGATATTAAAAAATTCCATCCAGGGAGAATTTCTCGTGACAGGCAGCATGAGAAACGACATATTGTAGATGCACAAGTAGGCGGAGCTGATACCAATGATGTTCCAGTACTTATCAGTGTTGAGCGTACCAGCTTTCGTAGCTTTGTCAATGCGGCGATCCCACTGGTAATAAAAGCACAGAGCATTGCCACCGAGAACGTAAATGACCCCAAAAATCCATTCACCCACCGTGAACCGAGAGACGCCAAGATAAGGGAACTTTGGCTTACGGCGCATGAGCATCGCAAAGCGCCAAATTAATGTAGACGTCAAGCGTCGAGCCGTATTAATATGACGTAGGTACTCAATAAGTAGCACGCTAATGATGAATGGAGCGATGCAGAAGATGAAGAGAAACGTAGGTCGGACCATTTCGGTGTGTCCGCTTTCGGTGATGTTCCGACCGACACTCGTATCCAAAATATGACCATGGCCGTGACTGTGGCCGCTATCGACAGGTGCATTTGGATATCCGTTCCACCAGTCTGTTATGGTGTTTACCAAATTAAGCTCATACAGCGGCGCCCAGGTAGCAATGTTACCAAAAATGAAGCAAGCGATGCTTAAGACGATGATGGAGCGAAGAACGTGGATGGTCGTAGATGGCGTAGCTTTTTGAACCAGCAACCTTCTCTGGTTTCCCACATCAACTTCTGGAGTCTTGTGGGCGTTATAGTCCGCCATACTAAAGGCTTCGAAATGGGCGACACCAGGAGAATTTTGGAATGACAAAAACCAAAGTTATTGACTGAGCTTCACCCCAGTCAGCCACAACGAGACAAGTTGGCTTGTCAACAATAGATTGAATAACCGACCTACGATATTAATGCAAGAAACAAGAACTGAGAAAGATTTCATGGTGTATCTATTAAAGAGCATCCCTTTCAACATTTATCAAATTGTTGATGCGTATTGTTGAAAAGCTTGAGCTATATTTAAATAACGGATGTTGTCAAGATCCAATTTGATGCACAGACCTGAAGCATTTTTCGAGACCACTGCCCGTATCATATAATAATTCCGTTAGCTTATCTTCCAGCACCAATCGCAAGTGACAAGAAAAATAACAAATCATAATCTTAAAGACAAAAAGTGGTCGGCGATCAGTTTCCAGAGTGTTGATCTATTAATGGCAGCTACTCGAATGATTTATAAAACGCTCTGAGCACATAACGCTTTCTTCTCACTCGAACGTGTCTATGTCAAATCATTCCTGAGTTGGCAGGGTTATATAAATATTGGGAATTGAATAAGAACTTGATTCATTTGAATGGCAGCATTGGCACTACAAAACGTGTTTTACAAAAACTAATCTTGGTCATGTGTTTCAGTACGCAAAAATTGTGTACATCCTCGATCAGTCTACAATATCCACTTAAATCAATTTGTATAATAATGGCCAATGCATCTCTTTGAAAAAGTCAACTATTTGTCGTGACTTACGATGGTCTCTTCATGCGCTAAAATGCAAAGATTGGCTCTGGTCCTGACTTGTCAAATTCCAATGCCCGCATGAGCTTGCTGTTAGAGTTTAAAATCTGCTTGTAGTCGAAGCAAGAGTAGAAATACTAAACCACTCTTTTTAGCGCCTAGAAATGACAAACGCAAACTTCTATTTCGCTTTTTAGCCTCCGGACTCCGACCTCATTTTCGGCATAAAACATCATCTGTACCCTGGACTCTTTTATGCAATATTGAGTCAAAAGCTAAAGCCAGTGTTAAGGGTAGTAACTTTATAGAGGTTTGCCATAACGTTCTTTTAACTTAAATCGATGATTGCTTGCCTATGTCGCGATAGATCACACTATGGACGAGCATATTATGATGTCAAGACGACGAAAAGTTAATGATTGCTCGCCTATATTACGAACATTCATAATGTGGACGAGCAATCAGTAAAGTTGTTGACTGCTCGCCCTTATTATGTTTCGTCGTCTCGAGAAAAATTCGAACGGGCGCAAACAACGGATGACCCGTCAATGTAGAATATCACACGTGATACGATATTATCATATGCACTGGTCCATCGTCGCGTTCCTTCAGAGTGCTTCCTGACCAAGACATATGTTCGCTACATTTTGTCAATCGACAGACTCACTTGAAGCTGAACAATTTCTTCAGCACAGAAGACCCGATCAAATCTGTCGTGTTGATCTTTTCCCACGAAGAGTTGTGCTTTCGCTGCCTTGCCTTCCCAAATTTCATTCTTCTACTCAATTGCTGCTCTTACAATGGCATGTGTACATCGCTGCTGAAAGACAACAACTTTTCAATAGGAAGAGATGGGGCTGGCAAACGGGACGAGTATTTATTGATTCGTTCATAGGCTCCACATTCGTGTGAAATGCACTTAGAGCGCACAATCTTCTTTTTATTTGTTCTCAACAAATGCCGTCTCTCGGTATTGATAACAATACGGCAGCAGCACTTCCAAAGCCAGAGGACCCACACATCGTAAGAGTACCAGAGTCTACAATGTTCGGATGTATATCGCTGTTTCAAGATATGACCAAAGAAGAGAAGGCACCGATCGACTCAAAAGCTGTTGAAAGCATCGACTTGAATTTTCGACCGTCGGGGAGGTCGACGAAATCATTTGGTTCTCAAGAGGTTGATGCTTCTTGTGGCTCGATCCATTGCAACAATAGCACAAAAGTCAACGACGAGACAGACACACTGAACGGCAAAGCCTTCGATGACCTGTTGTATAAATGAACCCTTTCAATCACCTTTTGGCGTCAAAGCTCAATGTTATGCGGATTACACAGCTAGTGGCAAACCGCTTCAAAGTATTGAGCAATTCATGCGTCATAAGGTCATGCCAACCTATGGCAATACGCACACCATCACAGACGACGGCATTTCGTGAAGAAGCCCGCGCGATCATTGCAAAGTCAGTAAATGCTCGCGGATCTAAGGACGTGGTTCTATTTGCAGGCCATGGCCGCACAAGTGCAATTCAAAAGTTGATCAAAGCCCTTGGTCTTAATACGTCGAAGCGATCGCGACGTCGATCAAAACGTCCAGTGGTTTTTACGTGTCCATTTGAGCACGACTTAAATCTACTGCCGCGGCGTGAAAGCCTAGCAGCTGATTTTGTCGAGATTTCTGACGCCAACGATGGTGGTCTAGATGTGAAGGAGTTAGAGCGTCAATTAAGACTCTACAGCAATCGCAAACTCAAGATTGGCATATTCACAGCTGCTACAAATCTCACGGGCATGCTTATGGATGTCGACAAGATCTCCAAGTTACTACACCAATTCGGTGCATTGGCTTGTTGGGACTATGCGACGGGTGCGCCATACATGGAAATTGACATGAATCCAAGCGATCTTCTCGCATACAAGGACGCCATTTTTTTTTCCGGCCACAAGTTTGTGGGCGGTCCGGGATCTCCCGGTGTGCTAATCGTGAAGAAGAATCTCATGCAAAACGAAGTGCCGACGACACCGGGAGGTGGGACCGTGCTCTTTGTCACTGAGAAGGCTCAAAAGTACTTGAGTGACATTGTCTCGCGCGAGGAAGGGGGTACGCCAGATATTTTGGGTAGTATTCGACTGGGTCTAGCTTTTAGGCTGAAAGAACGTGTCGGAGCTAACACGATTATGGCATTGGGACGTCATCACGCGCAGCACGTGCGTGAAACGTTAATCAGAAATTCGAACATTGTGCTGTTCGCTCGCCAAACCGACAAGATGGACCAGTTGCCAATCTTTTCAATAATGATTCGCTTTGATGACCGTTTCCTTCACCATAACTTTGTGTGCGCACTGCTGAATGACCTTTTCGGTGTGCAGGCTCATGGCGGTTGTCAATGTGCCGGTCCGTACGCAGCTCGTATGCTTGGACTGAATAAAGAGCATACATTTGCGCTGGAACACGCTTTCTCGGAAGAAGATGAAGCTATTAAGCTGGGTGTCGTTCGAGTATTTCGCTGATGATGCCGAAGTTGAATATATTCTTGACGCAGTGAGATTTGTAGCCGAACACGGATGGAAATTTCTGCCACAGTACGAGCTAGACATTCATTCAGCTGTGTGGAGCCATATTTCGCGTAGTACGGCTTACTCGTCAGAAAAGAGTAGTCTGTCTGATCTACAGTTCTGTAGTGAAAATGCAGCTAATTTGCCACCACATTATCAAACTACCATCCACTGCATCGCAACTCATCGTCGGGAAAACTTCGATCAGGCCGCACTCAAGGCGGACATTTGTATCAAGGAGGCGGCGCTGCTTGCTAACTTTCCGGAGGATCAAAAGGTGTATAAAAAGCACGAGTGGCTTCGTTGGTTTGTCTATCCATATGAAGCTGTCGCAAAGTACAAGATGGGCGTTGACAAGGAGAAGATTACAGGTCCATGCCAACCGAAATTACACGTGGAGGACGCCACGAATCATATCTGGGATGGGATGTCGTCTGTGTCTCAGCTGAAAGCAGCCGCTTTGAGAGGTTGATACAGCGACTGCCAACCAACTGAAAAAATTTGATGTGTCAATCAGGTTTTGAAGCAAGGTAAGAGTTGGAGTGACGTTGTACAAGTCAATCTATAATAAATGAGTTTTATAAATTTCAATGTGGCTGGAATCGCATCGCGTGTTTGGCTCTAAGACAATGGTTTCACCATTGTTCAAGCCCTATCGAGTATATCACTTCTTTCAAGTGTTGGCCATCAGAATTGAATTCCTTGATTGATAGAACATTTTTTATTGCCACCATTCTTATGTTTATATGGTATTTTTTGGGTCAAATTCTGTCAAAGGTCAAATTTGTGTGGACTGAAAATTATATAAACTACTATATTATCAGGTCACTGTCAAATCTCACTTTTAAAAGAAGTAGTTCCATAAATATTATCCGAATTTGAAAAAAGTACTTTCGTTGTTAAAACGGACTAATCTGAGTTCCGTGCACATTGGACGCTTCACCCAGGAGCAGCACCAAGAGCCTATAAAGTAACGAGGTACCTGGTTTGCCTTCTATTTCAAAAGTGACATTATTTATTTATATTGATACTTCGTTCTTCTGTGTTTGAGATAACGTATGGTTAATTCATTGAGCCGACTAGAATTATACCTTGCCCTGAGGGTATAGGTGGAAACGGAGTGCTCTCCATGAGAGATATAGTGACGATATCACTGTGCGTAACAATAACATGGATCACAACGGCTTAGAGCCAAGCAAATGCACCTGCCATCGCATGTAGCTCCATTTATGAACGGGGTAGCTCTTTTTTGCATAATTCAGTCGCGATGACGCCGTCATACCCAATGCCAGAAAATGGCAAAGAGTGAAACATCACAGACAGCTGGAATTTGCCGTATCAATTTGAAAGCGTCATATTTAAGAATTAGAATGCTTTCCTTAATAGCGCCGCTTTCGCACCATTTGACATTTTTTTATTGATGAGAGGGCCGTGTCATTATCGCATAATACTCACAGTGTTTGTGCAAGTGATGGGCCAGACCTATCGACTCTTTTTATCTCTAAAGGACAGAGACATCGGCCTAGCAACCATATGCTTAACCTTCGCAGGACCAGCCCGCAAACTAGACTTCAAAATCAAGTATAATTACACGGAGATTGCGTCAGCAACAAAGACATACTTATTGATATTCAAAACAGCAAAATGTAGCGCATACATATATAGCACTGCTCGCAAGTGGTTAATGTGAGCGTTCGTGTGTTCTGTGCGCCTATGCATATATATATATCGTGAAACAGCTTTCTCCGCATTGAAATGCTGCGGCTAACAACTGTATTAGCAGACTTTTAAGCGCTGCTATCGCTTAAGACTCACGCCAGAGCGTAGCCAGACACTTTCAGGGCATCTTGCTCGAGGTGCTCACAGCATTAAGAGGGAGGCTACTGCGCCTCGTAAGTAACTAGTAATATGATTCAATGTCGCAGCTGATAATGCTGTGAAGCATACCCTCTCGAAATCGGAGATTACGCCCGAATAATGACGATGAAAGCTTATTGTAATCATGCACCACTCGTAATTCGCCGCCAGCCTTACCGATACAGAGCATCATGGACGAGTTAGAAGATACGTTCCCTCGTGCCAAGCCGACTACGTATTTTGTGCGGAAGAAATCGTATGTGGCATCACACTTTTCCTTTCTCAAGATACATCAACGTCCTATGCAAACTTCAATCACAAATGATAGGTCTCTCGTCATCAGGTTGTGAGATCTGTTCGACAAAAATATCATCGAATATATTTTGCGCGCATAGTGCTAAGCGGGTCTACAGAATGACGGAGTCATCCACAACGGATGAAGAGCTCAGCTCCTACTCCAGTACCAGTGTACCTTTGATGCTTTTACCTTCTTTAAGTTTTTCGCATTCATCTTGTACTATATATCATTATAGGGCTCCACTCTAATCAAACAAAATAAGCTCCTAGGTCTACGTCTGTCACTTTGTCACGAGCTGACCTTATGAACTCTTGACTGCTTTTGACGTTGGTTCTGTCAAACGTTATCGCAAGTCAAACAGGCCTGCCTCATCATGACAAGACTAGACCCTTCTAAATAGCCCGAAGGCCTGCCATTTTACGTCTCTCATTCACGCCGGTCCTGGCACAGAAACCACCAGACACATTCTCACTTACTCCTCTACACCGTCTTCGGCACTGAGAGCACCGGCACACGCTGTAAGTTATAACCACCTGAGATGGACTTGGTGAACCCCGACATACGATCGCTCATTTTGGCCTCGGCAATTGTAATCATTGACTACTACGACATAAGATTGCGATTTACTGTTCTATCTTGAGATTGCAGCTCACTGCTGTTTTTGCCTTTCGAGCTCTGTCAACCTAACTTAGCATAATCTTTGCTCATCAAATCAAACAATTTGCGATCTGCACTGGTCATACCCACTTCAACAAAAATTTACTCTTCCTACCAAAGTTGCTTCATGGTTAACCATTGATTCACCAGAAGATAAGATTATGACACTAGGTATTTTCGGTTGCAGCCGATTCAAGGCTCATTAGCCCCAAGCCATATTAAGACCGAGATCATATCTAGAACCCATATCCTGGACGAGACGAGACGACGTCCCATGCTGTTAAAGTCTTTACTTGTCATAGAAAGGCTCAAAAGACCGTGCCCCAAAATACAAGGCTATCGTATTCGTATTAGTCATCTTCAATGCCACTGCAAACTGTCTACTGTGTTTGACAGCGGCGTGTCGAACATAATTGCACGGCGCTCTTAAATCTATCCAGCTATTTTATGGATTACGAAATTTAAAACGTTGATATTAACAGCTTATAAATCTAGACTGATTTACAAATCTTCAACGCGAGTAAGAAGATTTTTACACTCAGAGCTGGATCTCTGTCGCCGATCTCTACTAGGAGCAAAAGATCTCGCAACTCTCCTAGTTTGCCATACGCATATTGGGATTTGACAATTCCTCTCAAGGCGTTCATCGGACGACACTGCGTGAAATTTGACCCTTCATACGTTTCAGCTGAAAAGAAGTGGGCAGTTTATTTCGGAGGCTGCTTAGGTACTAGCAGGAATCCAAAAGAGGACTCTATTTTTCATCGCTTTTTTAGCCATCGCTTCCAACGCAATTTTTGGCTCTCATAATGTGTACTTCGATCGGCCCTCGCGGCGCAGCAGCTGCACTCTTTATCAATGCAACACCTAACCTACTTCGAAAGAGGTAAAAGAACGCGAAAATTCTTGGTGCGAGATGCACCTGTTCTTCAACCCGATACTCCATCAGTCATTGCCGAGGTAACTATTCTGAACATAATTTGCTTCTATCCTCCTCTCTTGTCGGGCAGATTTCAAAGTTGAGTGTAAGTTACTCTTGGTTATGGGTGCAAGCACTTGCGACATCTGTTCCTCCAACTCTTTCTATGTTAGAGATGCCTTTTTAAAGTGGTTATACATATAAGTGTCCAGTCGTTCGCTTGCTGTCTTCGCGTAAATACTGCTTGTGTGAAGCTGTGTTGCTCTGTTTGAAGCATGGCTGGCACCTCGGCCAATTTCACTTCTCTCAATTACAGAGTGGATATTCTCATCCTGTCATATTAATGCTGGATGCCTTTGATTAGAAGCGTCAGGTTTAGAGCCGGTAGTGCTCTCACTAATGTCTCTTCTAGGTCTTTCTGTGGCTGTCTACAAGCGCACTGTATAGCTGCGCAAGCGAGACTTTGGATGTTTTGACTCTAGGTCCGTCAGCACCCTAAACTACGATATACATAAGCGTATCAAACGTGTCTAGTTGTTTCGAGGACATGTTGTTGAACAGCTCGTATTACATCCAAATAGAATCCATTTTCTTCATGATTGCTGTCTGGTGATTGACGTCGAGTGCTATGAGCTCAAAGTAGGTGAGATCCTTTTGCACAGACAAAGCTTTAACTCGAAGAGTTTGCTATAATATACGGACACAGGGTGAAGGTCACCCAAGAGCGGTACCAAAATCCAGTAAATTCGTTGGCATCGTCTTTTTGTGAGTGAGATATATTTCGGACGAATTCTGTGTGGAGCGTATCAGTTGAGCTATTTCCAATAGTATGACATTTTGTATTACCTAACGTCCGACCAACAGCACAGTATCTTGCCTTTACGAGTCGTCAACGTCATCATGATACCAATTCTCTGGTGTCTCTAAGTGTTAAACAATTCACGAAAAGCGATGTGTATTTTACAACTTACGCACAAGTGTGATACGCGCCCACACAATATTATCGAACGTACTTCAACACATTTTACACTACTGTTACATATGCCAGCTAAGAAGTATCAATCAATATTGGCAATATTGGTATGAAAGAAAGATAGTTATTCAGACAAAGATTCATAGATTACGTGTCTATGGTGGTGAGTTTTTTGTAATTCCGCCGCGGAATTCACGGAGACGTCTAACTCATTTCTAATGTGCTCGATTTGACTCGGTAAACCGAGCTTGCACGTTTGAGAGTTGCAGCTTCTCTTGCATATTCAATCACGTCGTGACTTTGGTTTGATTTGCAAAAGCTGCTCGCCCTACCGTGGCGAAGCCTTAAATCCATATGCATAATAACGATCGGTTCAAATTTAGTGCGAAACGAACACTTTCTTGAACACTTTTTCGAAATACCATATATTGTGTACTGAGTGCAGGCAAAAGTGCAAATTAGTTTTGCACTAATTTTACTCGCTGAATGAAGAAGATACATCGCCTCACCCTTCTTTCACCTTTACAAGCCAGCTGTTGTGAATCATATTTAGTCGCTTGATGTTTGCCTTGTTTGAGTAAAACACGTGTTGGACATAAAGGTGAACGCTTATCACTTCAAGGTTATGCTCAGTATCCCCGCTCATCTTTATGAGCCTATTGGCACAGCTACCGGGCAAGTTTTAAACTTGAAACAAAGCCGTGTCTTACTTGTTGGTGAGTTCTCAGGCGCTCTTTTACTTCTCATGGCGAAATATGCATACAGGTC